GAAGGTCTTGCTGCCATTGCTGACGGTGCAAACAAGCTACTAATGCTGGTACTTGGTTAATAACTAGTTTTTTAGTATCTTTTTTTAGACTTTTGAGTGGTGTAGTTATATGACATTACACCATTGTACCTTCTATCATAATATGGAGAATGAAGGTTATGATGGATTCCGAATGCAGGACATGTTAAGGACATGTTTTTATATCAACTTATATTGGCAAGCATTTTTCCTATTGTTGACTTGCAGGTTTTGGCAGCTGTCATCAAGGCTGGTGCTTCCAGAGAGCATGAAATCCTTGCTGAGATCAGAGATTCTGTCTTTTCATTTATTCGGAAAATGGAACCAAGAAGAGTAATGGATACCATGCTTGTTTCCCGAGTTAGGATATTATACATAAGGTCCTTACTGGCACGATCACCAGAGCTTCAGTCTATCAGGGTGAGCATAGGCATCCGAGTTGTAGCTGATTTTTATTTTAGCTTTGGCCTAAGCTTGTATGACTGTTATTTCTCCTGGAAAAATTAACTCTATCCTCTTCATTTAGGTCTCACCTGTTGAGTGCTTTCTGGAGAAGCCTAATACTGGTAGAAGTAAAAGCACTAGCAGGGGTAGCAGCCCAGGTAGATCCCCAGTTCGATATCTTGATACGCAGATTCATGGCTTTAAAGTAAATATAAAGCCAGAAAGGAGAAACAAGTTGGCATCTGTGGTATCAAGAATGCGTGGACTTGAACAGGTAGATTTACCTTGGAAGAGCACTTAATTCTGAAAGATGCTTGAGTTTACCTAATATGTTAAAGATTAATAAACACTTACGATCTTGATTGTAATCATCTAGGATTCTGGGAGGCAGCAAGTTACTGGAGTGAAGCTGCGGGAAATGCAAGATGAAGCCAAAAGTTTTGCTATTGGGAACAAAGCCTTGGCTGCATTATTTGTTCATACTCCAGCTGGTGAACTGCAGCGACAGATTCGGTTATGGCTTGCAGAAAATTTTGAGTTTCTTTCCGTGACCGCAGATGATGTGTCGGGAGGAACCGGTGGCCAACTAGAGCTTCTTTCTACGGCAATTATGGATGGTTGGATGGCTGGACTAGGGGCCGCGGTGCCACCTCACACAGATGCTCTCGGGCAGCTTCTGTCCGAGTATGCAAAACGTGTCTATACTTCTCAAATGCAGCACATGAAGGTATGCGATGTCATTGGTCAAAAAATTTTTTTGAATGGAATTGGCAGATAGACATTCCCAATGGTCAGAAATAAAATATCTCTTTAAGTAGCTGATGCTGTGGCTGACTTAACACGGCCTATGTTGAGGTCTAAGGTTTTAGTCTGAATAATTAGTTTGGAATGATGCCTAATATGGAACCGTGGTACAGGATATTGCTGGCACCTTGGCGGCAGAAGAGGCAGAAGATGCTGGTCAGGTGGCTAAGCTTCGATCAGCTCTTGAGTCCGTTGATCACAAAAGAAGAAAGGTACACCACCGCGCCTGAAAATAAACCATATCGTTTTGGGTGCTTCGATTTTTATCTTGGAAACGTTCTTGTGTTCTGACTTTCGTTTGCTTTCTTTATCAGATTTTACAACAAATGAAAAGTGATGCAGCTTTGCTTAACCTGGAAGAAGGCAGTTCTCCTATTCCAAACCCTTCAACGGCAGCTGAAGACTCAAGATTAGCATCTCTCATTTCTCTGGATGGCATTTTGAAGCAAGTCAAGGTATTTATACCTCATGTTGCTTCATCTTTGATCTTGGTTTTTGGTTAATTTTTGGTCAATAACTTATTTTGCATCTTGCAGGAAATTACAAGACAAGCCTCTGTCCATGTTTTGAGTAAAAGCAAGAAGAAAGCATTACTTGAGTCCCTTGATGAACTCACTGAGCGAATGCCTTCTCTTCTTGATATCGATCATCCATGTGCACAAAGAGAAATTGCTACAGCACACCAGTTGGTCGAGGTACCTTTGATTTCCATGTATAATCAGTTTCTCCATGAACCTACCATAGACACAAAGAACTCTACCTGATTTAATGATGAGATCCGGATTAAAATATCGAACACACTAACTTGTTTCTCTTGACCGCAGACGATTCCTGAACAAGAGGACAATAATCTTCTGGAGCAATCACACGACCGGAGACCCTCATTAGAATCAATATCCTCAGGTGAAACTGATGTAACTCAGTGGAACGTTTTGCAATTTAACACAGGTTCTTCAGCCCCATTCATCATAAAATGTGGAGGCAACACCAACTCAGAGCTCGTGATCAAGGCTGATGCACGCGTTCAAGAACCCAAAGGAGGTGAAATTGTCAGAGTTGTCCCAAGACCTTCTGTTCTAGTAAACATGAGCTTAGAGGAAATGAAACAAATGTTTGCACAATTACCTGAAGCTCTAAGTTTGCTGGCTTTAGCTAGAACAGCTGATGGCACAAGAGCTCGCTACTCTAGACTCTACAAAACTCTGGCCATGAAGGTTCCCTCTCTTAGGGATCTTGTTAGTGAACTGGAGTAAGATACCTAAGTCGTGTAATGGCATAGAGATGTTGCAGAGAAACTATCCAACAATGGAGATTCCATGTGTATTTATTATTTCTTGTGAGATTTTTGGCTGGTTATAATACCTTTGAGCCAGATTCATTGTGTAATATGTAACTTCATTTTGTATTTTATTCCCATTCACTTAGCAATAAGTGTTACTTTCACAGCAAGTGAGCATTTTAAATTACTCTCTCCAGTGTTAAATGAAGGCAACATGTACAAGAAACAAAAATATGATTTGTACAATGAAAACTACCACTTAAAGGCTGATAAAACATAAGTTGGGAATGCATTGTGTTTAGCACTAAGGGCCTTCACTGAGTCCAGACTTGCAGTTTCATCAAAAGAAGTGAGACCAAGCTCATTACCATGAATCCCTCCAGTGATGAATATTGACTCAATTCCTGAAACATTTGCACCCTTTATATCATGATGTAGCGAATCTCCTACTGCGATAGACTCACATGGATTGACTCCCGCAATGGCTATAGCTGACTCATAGATCATCTACCAAATACACAGAGTCAAATTCAGGTGTTGCAGAGACAAGTAGCAAATTTTAATGTTCAAACGGATTATACACCTTATGAGGTTTTCCCATCCATTTCACTTCTCCTCCCAGTTCTTCATACTTGGAAGCTAGTGTACCTAAAAAATTCGTGATTGATTTTATATGAGTCTTTATATGGCATCATATGTGAAAGACACAATTAGACACTTTAAGATGTAAAAGAAACTGTACCTGGCATGATATGAAAAACATTTGCTTCAACAGTCACGTAATCTGGATTAGCAACGATCATGGGAAGTCCTCGAGCTGCAGATTTCTCCAAAATCTTCTCAAGCTCATCGAGGGTCCTTGGAGATACACTGCCTGAAGGAAGTCCTAGGGCTTCAGTGCCGTGCGCTAAAACAAAGTCAGCTTCTTCCACATTCTCCACAACATTTAGATCTAGACCCTGAAACATAAACTATATCAAATACCTACTACTAACCTTCACCGATAAATCAACCAGCAACAAGAAACAAGGTGATAAATAACCTCCAAAGAGATTGCTCCTCGGTCATTCCAAGTCATGTGAATGCAACTCCTTCCTAGTGCAGCAAACCAAGGATCATCTCTCCTATAAGAGACATTTATCAGTAAATTCTACTATGTAGTAAATAGCATCTATATCGAGAAGAAGAAGTTGTTGGTATTAACCTTTGCAAAGATTGATGGGTTAGTTCACCACTAGTTATAGCTCCGGTGAAGTAAGAAGGATCAAAGCCAAGGCCTTTCAACTTTTCCATTGTAGTTGAAGCACGTCTAGAAGAATTACTAATGATCACAATTTTGGCACCCGCTGTTGCAAGATTTTTCACTGTAACTCCAATAAAACAAAAGTTAGATCAATCATTATGCAGAACTACAACGATACCGAAGAAATCTGAAAGAAAACTATCAAGAAATGGGAAATTCTCAAAGTAAAATGATATGAACAAATATTCATTGCCAAATCATCTCTGACTATATCAAATGTAGCCAACACTGAAGCAAGTCATACATAAATATTAAACAGTGAAAGAATTGGTTTTTGTACCCCAAATCCCCAATGGAATCAACAACCCGAAAAGCGATATGCTCAAAGGTTAGAAATGATAACGTACATGTTGAGATTGCACCAGGGTACGGTTTTTTGCCATCATGAAGAACTCCATACTGATCTAAGAGCCATGCCTGTGACACTCTTCATCAAGTTTTTAAACGCATAAAAGAAAATCTTGAGAAACATTCACTAGATGTTTGATGATCATTCATAGGTTAAGCTACACACATCCTTCTTTACCAAACGTTACTCTCGAAAAAATGTAATGGTTGCTCATTTGAAAACTAAAGTTGTTGAATCCAATTTACAGAAAGTTGTATGCTTTTCCAAATTACAAGGCTCTCATATTATACAATTAGAGAAGACCATTAGTTAACAAGATGAAGTGAATCGAAAACTCGCTCGACATAAGACCAGGAAGTCAGAGAACACACATAGAAAAAGACAGTAAACTGAGACAGATGAGGTTAAAACCTTAAAATTTCGTGTCTCAACGATGTCTTTGAGGCCATTCATTGGCTGCGAGATCTGCGAGGAACAGATCATTTTTCTTTCTGCGGCGAGAAGAAGAAGAACTGAAGAACCAGATTAATCGAAAACAACAACCCATAAGTGTTTTTCTCTTTACCACAAGCACAACGCGCAACATACGCGAGTAAGATCCACGCTTTGCTCCTATAATACTTTACAAATATATTAGTAATCCTCAACTGAACAAAAGTGTCGCTTTGGCCGAGTGGTTAAGGCGTGTGCCTGCTAAGTACATGGGGTTTCCCCGCGAGAGTTCGAATCTCTCAGGCGACGATTTCTTTTTATGTTATGTTTAAAATTTTCCCGCCCTTTTTATACTCAACGGTCCTTCCTAATTAATAACCGCTTGATTCTTATTTTTGGTGCCAACGAAGAAGAAGTTGTTTATCAGATTTTTATCGAAACCTGAGTTATATATACATTTTATTAAGCAGAGAACCAAAAAAATATGAATATATGAGTCCTCGCTAATCTATCTACACCATTCCTAACTTTTATATTCAAACTAATGGTTTCCCACTGTTTTTTTCTATTAACTACCACCAGAGAACAGATTCTTTCTCTGCTTCTTTCTCAGTAGTGTTCTCATGATCTGAATCTTTACACAAGCATAGATCGAAGCTCAATCATCGATCTTGGTGCCTCCAAATTCTCTTCCTTTAACGAATTCCCGAGTAAGCTTTGCATTTGAGTCACAAATATCTCATCTAGAACCTGCAAAATCATCATATAACAATTACAAGGTAAGAACTAAAAAGAGACATTTTTTTTGTTTTTTTCCAGTGAGTGGTAAAGAGTTGAGAAAGTCCAGAAGAAAGTTGAGTCAGTTACAGAAACTGCGATCCTCGGGCCTTTGTGCCAAATCACATTGTCTCTTCTGTCTTCCAAAAGCCGCAGCACATCCTTCGAAAAAGAAGAGCAAAAACAGAATAAGAACAGTGAAGGCTAATGACGATGCAGAAACAAACATTTAGCTATGTGGTTTGCCTTCCTAACCTGTCCCAGTCTGTCCCATATTCCTCTGCATATTAATACAAACACATCGAGTGACAAAACACAATGCAGATGATCAATGGTCTTGTCTAGTAAATCTTTCAAACTCTGCATTCTGTTTCTAACGTCTGGTTCTGCTGTTGTTTCCTGTAAGTCGTGGATGATGTTCTTCATTCTCATGTGGCTTTGTATCCTCGTCTGTTACATAAGATAGATTTTCTCAAGGATCTGAGCATACAAGACAGATAATCTCAGAAACAAGTTCAGAGAGGAGTAACCGACATTCTCTGCAAGTTTCTCCACGAGCGCTTGCATGTAACTTCTGAATTTGGCTCTTAGCTGTACAGTCACTTCGCTCAGCTGCTCTCCCAAAACTCTCTTTTCTTTGTCAGGAAGATAAGAGTTCCACACTTTGAACCGATTTTCTATACTTGACCGTAATGTGTCAAGCACTCTTTTCATGGAATTTAAAAGAACTCCAAGCTGAAACATGTTTTAAAGCTCTCTTACACGAGTTCTTAGAGAAACTTGAAAAGTTAAAAACACAGTAGACATACTTCTTTTGGAACAGCATAGAGATTAGATTGGCCCGTTTTTGTCAATCTCTGGACGTACTTCAGGGGAGATACCTTGCTTTCCTTCAACGGAGACAAAACTTCCGAAAATTGCTTCTCCAATGCTTCAATAATAGACCTCTCCACATCGGCTACAAGCTTTCCATATGAAAAAAACGATACCATTTCTAAGTCGGTCGTATTTGATTAACAGAGTTAATGCCTTCTGAGCCATGGAAGAAGGAGAAGCTCATCAAGCACAAAGCAACCGCGTTGATGATATTCATGTGATTGTGAAGTGAAGAGATATTGGAATTGAAAGAATCAAACTTTTTTCGTTTTGTACTCTGTTACTTACTTTCTCCAAGGATGCCGCATATTCGGGCCAACGCCTGATGATGATATCATACTCATCAAGTGTCGCGTTGAGTAACTCATACATCTCATCAACTAAAGGAGAGGTCAAGCCTTGAATCTCACTACATGATTTTGCCTGAAAAAAATAAAATGATTCCATTTGCAGATGTCAAAGCACTAAAATGCATTCTTGTGTCAGCATATAGAAAATTGTTGCAAGATTAGTACCGTTTCTGACTTGCAGAACTCATATAGATAACATCTTCTCTCTTCGATCCAAGTAGTAATATATGAATGAAAAAGCTCTTTGGCAGTAACACCACCTTTGATTGGACTGCCAACATGACAATGAAAGTGCATATCATTAATAGGAATGTCCGAAAGATAGATTTTAAGTCTAAAGTATTCAGAAAAAAGTAAGAGCAAACATTACTTTATATTCCAGCGAGAGAGATCGGCTTCAAAGTCAGCTGTCGTAATGATAAGCTCGACAACTGGAGGCGTTGCAGAAGGAGGGGGCCATGCAATAAGATATTCCCTTAGTCTGTTGAATAGATCCACACTATATATTGCCGCCGAAAGTTTTGGAAGGTCTATAAAGCTGCTTAATTAGGAGTTTACAGAGAGAATCAATACAGAGATACACTAATTTAGTAATACAAATGATGTATCTATGAAACTTAGACAAACCTTGGGAGCACATTGTAGTTACGGATGGCTATATCAGTTGAGATTTCACTCTTAAGGCTCAAAATTAAAGACTTCATCCTCTGATAAGAAGTGCCTTGTGCATCCTCAATATGATTGTGAAGTATATTGTTCGTTTCCAATAAGTATCTTCTTGACCTCTTCTTTGAAGCAGCCTGAAAGAAACCATATATAAATCATGGGGAAAGTGAGAAAGATAGAGAGAGGTTGTGTGTATGTGTCTGATTTACCTGAAAGTATCTGAAAAGTCTTAGTTGTGCCTCAGGGCTTAACACGTCATTGAGAAGACCATAAAGCTTGATAGCTGGCGCTATAGCAGGCGCTGGAATTCCTGTAGGAGGCTCAAAAACATCTTTGATTCCAGATAAAGAAGATTCATCAAGAGATTTATAATTCTCGAATGTCAGAGCAAGAATCTGCTGAACTTGTTCATCAATCTCCCCAAGCAAGCGATTCTGTTAAATGCACCAAAAGAAAAGTGAGCTACTTGAATAGTGAAACATGATCCTAACCGGTTAAGAGCTACAGAAAAAAAATATACATACCTCTTGATGACTCAATACAGCCTTGTGATTGCCTTTCATTAAAACAGGCGACAGAAAATCATATATCAGATCAAGACAGTCCTTAGTAGGCGAGGCAACATCCATGACATATGAAAGATATCTACAAATCACAAATAATATTCTTGCATAACAATCACTTCCGTGAATGAAATTTCTTTGGTTACCAAAATACAATCTTCTTGTTTCTATATTACCTTAATTTTGTATATGCATCCGAAATTCCGTAATAGGATGCAAATCGAGTTACCATCCAGTGCCATGGCCCTTTAATTAACAGATTTTGGCGCTGAAATTGCTCAGCTTTCATAGCCACTTCCAAAACCAAGTCATAAGCTGAAGTTTCTGCAACCAACCCACACTGAATATGAATGGAAAAATGTCAATATATACAACATATGAGACGGTTAAAGAAGCTTCTCATGTGGAAAAAATCATGTACCTTAGTTTTTTCATCTAAGCTGCTTGAGTAGTTTATATGAAGTTGGATTCTCCCAATACGGTCATGCTCTGGTTCATGATATATTGCCCACCATTTATGATCGTTCTGTTAAAACAGCCAACACTTTAGATTTCAAGCCAAATCTCCTTATGGACACAACTTAAGGCTTACCAAGTTATCTTACCGGTTCATCAACTATAGCTGCTAGTTGAGCTAAGACACGACCACAAAACTGCCCCTTTGAATCCCGAACTTCAACAATCAAATCATCACCGATACTATCTGGTAAGCTACAACGGAAAACCATACTTTAACTCCAACTATAATAAGAAAAGGAATTTAAAGGCAAATCATGAATGTACAAGGAAACCTACAAGACAAATGTTTCGCCAGATCCAGGTAGTGTTTTAACTTGATCCTCCTCGGCAGAGCTCTTTAGTCTTAATGAACATGTAAAAGTTTCTGAAAAGAAAAGAATGTCATTCAGAAAGGAAGATGAAACAATTATGACACCTGTGAAAATTAATGCAATCAAATATACCTTGTAATGCTTTGAGAGAGCGAGGTCCGGTGTGAGATGTAACAAATTCTTGTTTAAGGACTTTTGATACCTGTTTAAGGTAGTGAGCACATGCGCGCATATATGCCAAACTTTTCCGTGAAAGTGAACCATTCAAAGGAACTGGAGGAGAGACATGAACTCTCTTTACTGCTTTCCATCCAGAAGACAAAGCAGAATTCAGCTCCGCGATTTGCTGGCGAACGATTTCATGCTTCAGTGATGAAATATTGCAACCAGGTTGTTGATCTAATCCCATTTTGATCCTACCAACTGTTGAGCTACACACTTCAGATCATATGAGAAAATGAGAAGGGATGAAAAATGAAGACAAAAAGGAAAATATACCTTGGAGTTTGATTTTTCCAACACTTCTCTTGAATTTTGGAGCAGTTGCCTCAGTAACCAAGCTAGAAGGTCTATTTCCCAACAGTTCTTCTTCAGATTGAAGGAAGAAATTCTGCAAACTAAATTTTCTCTCAAAATTAAACAACGGGTCAATGCACAAAGATCTGAACAGAACCAACACCAAAACATGTCTCTCACCCAAATGCATTTCGGATTAACGTGCAATCATCATTGAGGAAGTACGAAGCCTCGGTGACACTGTCTGTTTCCCATGAATGAAGACATAGCCGTACACAGGCTTCATAGGAAATCATTGCAGACCATGGACCTTGTTCACTACATTCAATAAAAAGTAAGTGAGAAAATTTTGAATTAAAAGTGGATAAGAAAAGCTTGATATGTATGAAACTCACTCACCTTGCATGAAAGGTGGGAAAACGGGAAGGCAATGTCTCGTTCTTTATCGTTCCAGTCTCTGCCATTTCTCTTGTTGGTGGTTCTAAGCTACGTATATATGGAATTTCACATTCATTTTTTGCTTCCTGTAAAAACAGGTTGACAGAGGACCTCATTGGAAAATTGAAGATAACCAGAAAAGAATCATAATCTTTTCTTTTTTTGGTGTAAAGGAATCATAATCTTTTGTGAGAGTAGAAGACAGTACATGTGAAGCTGCAGTGCTGGATGCTAATTTAGACAAATCATCTGCACAATGAGCCTTTGATCCAACAGAGCATGTCTCATCATCGAACGAATCAGAAGGAGCAACACGCTTAGAATTTGCTCCTCTTGAAGCACCATCCTGTTTACATTTTAGATAACACATCACTATTGACAGAAACAGAACCAGAATTCACACTGAGTTTAACAAAGAATGCAGCTTTACAAAAATGGTTCATACCTCTCGTAAACCTTTACTTTGGAAACCTTCCCTGAACATTATTCTGCAGCTTCAAGCTTTCCTCTGAGGTTAAACAGTTCCAGTAGATTATTATCATAAGAATGAAAGACCAAGCCTATTAGGATAAGATAAAACAAAAAGGCAGATCATTTCATTTTGAAAATCAATCCAAGTGCATGGAAAAACGAAAACCCATGAATCCATTCTATCTCACACGAATCTATCTTGGCAGAGATACATGAAACAAGATTGAAGAGACAGAAGTCCTACGAGAGTACGATGAAACGAACCAAGAGAAGGTTCACTTTTTAACAATCTCTTCCACGAAATGCACATGAACTAAAAAGAGTGATCGACAAGGGAAATCCAAAATTAGAAGCAACAAAATTGATCCAGCTACTAAAACGAAAAGCAAAGCCCTTTTTAGCTTACACTGCGAAAAGACCGGAGATTTCGATGACAGACGCAAGTGTGATGAAAGTGATACAAATGCTCAGCAGTAGTAATCTTCTTCTTCTTTTTTTGTGTTTTTTTTTGTCAAACTAGTCAATCTTACGATTACGGAGAAGAAAAAGAATCGGCCTTTGACAATCACTCACTCGAATCAAATTATCATTAAGAAATTAACCAAAAAAAAAAAGATGGAGGGTTAAAGAGAAAAGTAAAGGTTTGGGTTTTTGTAACATGAGAGAAAAGTGGTAACAGAGATTAAGCAGTGAAACTAATGACGTGGCGAAAGAAGACGAGCTCTTTCCAACCGTCGATGCTTTTGCAAACAAAATCTCTTTTTGGACTCACGGTGACGGTTGACCATATTGACGTATCAGAAAAGTCTCCTTTTTGTTTACTTTTTTCTTTTCTTTTTTTTCTTTGCAGGCGACACAACTATTAATTTCCCTTTTTATTAATTAATACACTTTTAAGATATATAGAACTACTGTATATACACTTTAATCTTTTAAAGTATAAACAGTTTTAGGTGTTATTGTTTTATTTTACTTTTTATTATTATTTTCCAATTAGTTATGCTCCTTGTTTGAAAAATCGCTAGGCGCTAGTCGGGCGTTCGGCATGGGCCTAGCGATTAATCGGAAAATCGGATTAAAATCGGGGATTAATCGGGGATTAGTTTTAGGGTTATTTTAATATTTTTAAAATATATTAATTCAATATTGTTTTCAAAATTACAGTAAAAACAAATTTTTATGATTTTTATTAAAATTTGAACACAAGTTATGTAAAACATCACAAACTCCCAATTCAAATGATTGAATAACAAAAATAAAATGTTTTTTTTTATACTTGTAATCTAAAAAATAATCGGGGTATGTAAGATTAGGCGGGAAATAATCGGATTAGGCGGGAAATAATCGGATTAGACGGAGAATAATCGGGTTACTGATTTTTTAGGGGATTAGTCATTAATCGAGGCGGAGAGGGTGGACCTAGCGATTAAGCGGGGAGTAATCGGGGCTAGGCGGGGATTTTTAGAACAGGGGTTATGCTTACTAAATTATTTAATGACCACTCTTTTTTACTATATGTAACATTTTTATTTTTATTTTTTTTTAATGAATGTAAAATTTATTCATAAAAAAAATCAGTGTTACATCAAGTGCTTCAGTTTTAAAGGTGACAGTTTTGACAGCTGTTTACAATCTTAAGTTCGAGTAGAGAACCAAATAACGAGGAGGTCTTGGTACTTCTGATTCCCCGAGCAGCGGAGGAGAGAGATCTTGTTCCGAGTGGTTTTCTCGATCAACGATCATTTGGCCAAAGCGAGGAGCTGAGATGTGGTCTTCACCGTATCTACGATTATTTTTAATTGAATAAATCTTTATTAAGAGTTAAAAACATTATTACATAGTTATTAATTAGTAATAATTGTTCGTTTATTTCTATATAAGAAAAAGTTTTCGCATTTTATCCCAAGAAAACGAAGAAGAAGTTTTGACATTACAAAACTTTAGCCCAAAAAATAGGAAAAACGGTCTATTTCCCTACGAGAAGTATGCGTATCACGCCAGATAGAGCTCATTCTTTGACTTCAGTCTATATCTCCATGAAATCAAAGTTCTATTCTTATTTCCCTCCGAATCGAAAGTTCTATAGCTTAATGTCCCTGAAACAAAAATTCGAGAACTAAAACCCCACAAAACTGGGTTTAATCGGTTTAATGTATACAAAACCGATAAACAAACCAACTAAATCTAATTATAACCAGAATAAACCCAATTTTACCCGTTGACATAATAATTTGACCAGATCAAAACTATATCAAGCATGAACCGATTAGTTTCATAGAGCTCAAACCCAATCGTAAACAACAAACAGAGCCACATTGCCCAAACAATGGTAGACACAAATATGCCCGTAATTAACAAATCGAATCAACCCTAAGGTAGATCTTGAAGATTCAAATCAAAATCTAAAGCAAATTCTCTACTTTTTAAAACAATCAAGAACAAATTTATTGAGCTTTATCTTCTGCATCTCCCTAGTTTCTATTGACTGTTCTCTTTTTTCTCTTATCAACTAAGCATTTTACAAGGTTGTACTGTTCTCTTGTATTGTACAGATTGTACAGGTCGTTTGTGACGAAGACGCCGTCGTAAATCCGAAGGTTGTTGAAGAAGAAGACAAGTGAAGAAGCTTTTTGGACGTTTCGCGACGGGAAGAGGAGGAGGGGAGAGAGATGGAAACAGCTTCATTGTTTCTTCCACTTCAGTTCTTTGATGGATTTGAGATCTGATAAGTGAAGAAGTTGTGCAGTGGCGGCGACGGCGTCGTTGGAAAATAGGTGGTTACGGTTGACTCGTCGACTTGTAGAAGAGCTGATCCAACTGAGTTGACTCAGCGAGGTGGTGACCTTTGAAGAGAGACAAAGTAGAGTCGAGGAAAATCGAGTCTTCACGTGAGAGAGATAGGTCGAGATGGTGGTGGTGGTCGGAGAGGATGAAGGCAGAGGGAGTGAATCGGAAAGTGGAAATTACAATTGAATTTGATTATTTGTTAATTACAATAAATTTCTCCAATGAGCTTTTGTAATTTTGATATCAAATTTATCAAAATCGTTTTTGTTGATTGAAGAATTGTGTGAAGAAGAAGATGATATCGGATCGGATCATTTACGGGTCGGTCATTTTTTAATTCATTTTAGAATCAAATTTTAGTGGTTTGGTACTCGGTTTGTTATTCGATTTACTTTGGGTTGAAAGCGTAAACCAATATAACCCAGTTTCGGGGACATTAAGCTATACAACTTTCGATTCGGAGGGAAATAAGAATAGAACTTTGATTTCGTGGAGATATAGACCAAGGTCAAAGAACGGGTTTTATCTGGCTTGATACACTTACTTCTCAAGGGAAATAGACAGTTTTTCCAAAAAAAATAATAATAGTTGATAATGAATGTTTTGAAACTAGTAAAGTATTGGACTTCAGAAGGCCCATATTAAGCCTAATATAGGCCCAATAGTCCAGCCGGAGTTCTTCTGACTTTAAAAACGAGTGACGAGAAGCTGACTCACTAAAAAACTATTATCGTCCATTCACTCGCTCTTATCACAAAACCCAAACCCTCCCAACTATTCCACGCGCCTACACACTCCACGCTCCTCACTCTACGAAAGTATATAACATCAAACGGCGTCGTATAACCGAAAGTGAACACACTTGCGCGTGGGTTTAATATATATCTTTTTTTAATAGCCCACCTGACTCTTTCCCTTTATTCTTCTATCTCCCTTTCTTTTTCCCATTTTCTTCAATTTCCCCCAAAAAAATAATTTAATCAAATCTCTCTTCTCTCTCTCTAATGGCGGCGACATTAGGCAGAGACCAGTATGTGTACATGGCGAAGCTCGCCGAGCAGGCGGAGCGTTACGAAGAGATGGTTCAATTCATGGAACAGCTCGTTACAGGCGCTACTCCGGCGGAAGAGCTCACCGTTGAAGAGAGGAATCTCCTCTCTGTTGCTTACAAAAACGTGATCGGATCTCTACGCGCCGCCTGGAGGATCGTGTCCTCTATTGAGCAGAAGGAAGAGAATCGTAAGAACGACGAGCACGTGTCGCTTGTCAAGGATTACAGATCTAAAGTCGAGACTGAGCTTTCCTCAGTTTGCTCTGGAATCCTTAAGCTCCTTGACTCGCATCTGATCCCATCTGCTGGAGCTAGTGAGTCTAAGGTCTTTTACTTGAAGATGAAAGGTGATTATCATCGTTACATGGCTGAGTTTAAGTCTGGTGATGAGAGGAAAACTGCTGCTGAAGATACCATGCTCGCTTACAAAGCAGCTCAGGTTATTTTTCATTTTCCAAATCTGATTTGGCTGATAGTTTTTTCTTTAGAGAACTCTGTATCTGAGATTTCTTCTATTGGTAATATCTACCAAATCTAGTAATTAGGTCTCGAATTGAGCTACTATGCTAATCAAATCTTGAGAAAGTAGATTGCTATTTTTCTTCAGTTTTTGTCTTTAAGAGTAAAAATTGCTTACCAAATCTTTGTTTCATTTATTTGTTACCAAACTGATGGATACATATTGTTTGTTTCTCTTTCGATGTGATGTTTTTGAAGGATATCGCAGCTGCGGATATGGCACCTACTCATCCGATTAGGCTTGGTCTGGCCCTGAATTTCTCAGTGTTCTACTATGAGATTCTCAATTCTTCAGACAAAGCTTGTAACATGGCCAAACAGGTTACTCTTCTTGTCTCTTTTTCATTGCTTGTGGTCTCAATTAGGAACATCTCTTTCTTTCTCTCCATTGTCTCTTTGGTAAAAAACATATAAGTCGTTGACCTGAGTTTGTCTTTGGAGAGTTTGCCCCTGTTTCTTGCTTGATGTTTTGACAAAGAGAATTGACCACTGGTTGACTAGTCTTGTTGTACCTTTTTCTTTCTTAAGATGTATTGTTGGTTAAAGAACCCTTTGTATATCATTTTGGATCACTTTGAATGAGCTTGCTTGATGTTTTGACTAAGAGGATTGACCACTGGTTGACTATTTCTGTCGTACCTTCTTAATATGTTTTGTTAGATAAAGAACCAATCTTGGTGCTTCATTTCGGATCACTTTGAATCAGCTTTTTAAAACAAAATTCCTCTTCTTTTTAAGAATCACAGACTCTATGATGAGGAAGATCCATGCTTTCTAATACTAGGACTGATGTCTCATTCTGTTTGAACTAGAACTTGTCGTTCATTTTTATCATTGTGGGGGCATTCTCAATTTTGATACTGGATTCACGATTGTAGGCTTTTGAAGAAGCCATAGCTGAGCTTGACACATTGGGAGAGGAATCCTACAAAGACAGCACTCTCATAATGCAGTTGCTGAGGGACAATTTAACCCTCTGGACCTCCGATATGCAGGTATTCACATCTCTTTATGCCGTACCTCGATATTTCAAATAATTATAAAGTCGTACTATACTCCCTTGTATTTTCCTTCACTATGAGAAATCATATCTTAGTGTGATTAGTGTTTTCATCATAGACCGCACCCGTAATCAGATGCATCATATAGAAACATCAACATCATCTTAAAACTGAAAAAACCTCAAAACCGTGTTTGCTGAGTTATTATTACTATATGCAACAGGAGCAGATGGACGAGGCCTGAGGATCTAGAGGAAGGGGGGAGAGTGTTATGCCCGATGTTTCCGCCACCAAATGGATCTCAAAATCCCCATAACCTTTGCTCAAAAACTGTGAACATATTTAAGTGTTTATGATGATTATGATTGTGCACAGCTTGATGATTTATCTACTCTACTAAACCTCTTCTCTCTTAATATTTATTGTCTCTTGACTCTGCTCAAGCCTTAAAAAAACTCTTTCTCCTCTGGTTAAATTATGATCCTTCTACTGTCTCGTCTAATTCAATTTGGAAACCAATAATCTTGGATTTTTTATTTGTGTTAATAAAATAAAGAACGTGAATCTTGTTGCGTATTATAAAATCCAGTCAAACCAAGAAAATCTGTGCAACATAGGTTGTGGAAGAGAGCGACCATAGAGATGCACACACGTATCAAAAGAAGTCGAATCTCTCATTACACAAAGAGATGCAAAACATCAAAAGTGTACTTGGACCACTTTGTCTGCATTGCATGCATGAAAACTATATTTATAAAAATAATAGTCTTTGGTCGATTGCTGAGACATTTAGTTGTTTTCTCATTCATAAACTTTTCTTTTTCTCCCACCAATCTTTTCAGAGAAAGATACTGTTAAAACCAAAGTTGCTCGCTCACACGTGATTCCAGTCCACGTTCATTACAAAATTGGAAATTATATAAAGTTTTATATGATTGTTAAACGATGTTTAATCTTGAAATTTAATTGTATAATGATTTTCTTAAGTATTGGTATTGTTTTGTAAGAAATTACGGGTTTCGTTTCTTTAACTTTTGGTTTTCAGTTCTTACCAAGCTTTTTCAGTTTAAATGAAAATAGTTGAATGGATCACATTTTGCAACATCTTATGTGCTTCTCCTTTTAACTATTGTGAAATTTTGTAGCAAATGGCATTTTTTTCGATAGCCAATTAAAAAGACCTGAGATGAGTCTCATGTTAGTTATATTATGCTTATTCTGAAAATTTGGTGTTCTCAAGCTAATTATTTTTGTAGTCCACGAATATTTGTGGTGCAAACGATATTCACACTTCTCGCCTCACCAGCAACAATTTTAGCTTATAACTAACTACACTAGTAAATAGTAATGACTATGTAGTTACTTATCTGGTTCTTGATATGCATAATGTATATGTGGCCTCGAGCCTCGAGCTTTGAGGTTGGACTTGGTACGATTCCGATGATTAGATATATTGTATTAACTTGGCCTCTACTTCAATATCCTAATTCGTTTCCATTTTTTCACTGGAAAATATCTAAGTTACTTAATTTTTTAATGCAATTTACTATCTAATATAATATTTTCTGTTCATAAATTGATGTTTTTCCATAATAATTTTGTACTAAAATATAAAATAATTTGAATATATTTTTAACTAATATACCAAAATTTACATAAAATGTCTTTCACATATTCATAAATAATCTACGATTTTATTTTTAAATCAAAACTTAGAAAACGAATGACTCGCCATATTTTCGTTCTAAAAAAAGACGAATATCTAAGTTGTTATACAATGTTTCTCAAAATATAAGAAATAAAGAGCAACCATTGACCTTTTTCACATAAATTTTCCTTACTAGGTTCCATATTTTGAATAAAAATATTTATTTCCTTGATAATAATGCTAATTTTCTCATCTTTTTAATCTTTTGTTATCCTCTCCTTCACATTTCTTCTCTTTACCAAAAATCACATTTTCTTCTCTTCCAATATTAAAAGCTCCCCTCTCTTTCTTTCTTTTGACCCCAAAGCAAATTCTACAAAAATAAAATAAAATAAAATAAAAAAGACATAAAAACAGAGACCAAATCTTTCTTCAGTTCAATCTCTTTACTATAAAAACGATATTTTTTTTCCTCCAAATCCTGTAACAGTAAAATTTGTATAGATCGAAAAAGCTACAATTTTTGTCGCTCTATAATGGCTGAATTCATGGAACCAAATCTCGTATCCACAAAGACCACCAATTTCGATGATGCAAAGAACAACTTTGTCGACACAACATCGATTTTTCAGATGGGTTTTCCTCTGGAGAGCGAAGAGATCGTTAGAGAGATGATTGAGAAAGAGAGACAACATTCACCGAGAGATGATTACCTCAAGAGACTGAGAAATGGAGATTTGGATTTCAATGTCAGAAATCAAGCCCTTGATTGGATTTGGAAGGTCAGAACTTTTTCTTCTGTTGACTCAATTCTTAGCCAAGTCAATATAATCTAATGACTTTGATATGAAAAAGATATGACTTTGCCTTATCTTTTGATCTGAATATAATATCTTGTGTCTTTGATTATTATTTCAGGCTTGTGAGGAACTTCAATTTGGACCATTGTGTATATGTCTGGCAATGAACTACTTGGATCGTTTCTTATCTGTTCATGACTTGCCTGTACGTCAGATATAAACTCATCCTTGGCTTAAGATTTTGATAATCTCTTTGATTATGGATTGAATGATTTATGAGGCTTGTGTAGAATGGAAAAGCTTGGACTGTGCAATTGTTGGCTGTAGCTTGTTTATCATTGGCAGCTAAGATAGAGGAAACTAATGTTCCAGAGTTAATACATCTGCAGGTTCTATTAATAATCTCATTTCTCTCTAATTGTATAGCATTAAAAACCAAAGTTAATATTCTAGTTATGATGACATTACTAGGTTGGAGATCCCTTGTTCGTGTTTGAGGCTAAATCAGTTCAAAGGATGGAGCTTTTAGTGTTGAACGTATTGAGATGGAGGTTAAGAGCAGTGACACCGTGCTCTTACGTTAGATACTTTCTGAGTAAGATCAATGGCTATGATCAAGAACCACACAGCAGATTGATATCTAGATCACTACAAGTGATAGCCAGCACAACCAAAGGTTATAGGTCACTTCTTTTTCATTGGGTTTTGGTTTTCTAAAACCTCAGTTTTGCTTTTGAGTTAGAAATGTTGATGGTGGTTGTGAAAAGGATAGTTGATGTGTGGGCAGGTATTGACTTCTTGGAGTTTAGAGCTTCAGAGATTGCTGCTGCAGTTGCTCTTTCTGTTTCTGGAGAACACTTCGACAAATTCTCCTTCTTCTCACACCTTGAAAAGGTAAGAAAGTCACCAAAAGCCACCTTCATTTACAAAAGTAGTGGTTCAATAGATTGTGAAAAATATGGAAAATCATGAGACATAGATATAGGCATACATTAATGCACACATTGTCTATATATGTCCCCTATTTGAATCCCTTTTTAATCCAAAAACTAGTTTGTGTGTAGACTGTAGACGAGAAAGACCAGTTCAATTATAGTCTTCATGTTTTCAAATCTCGTGACACATTCACATGTTGGTAAAATGTTATTTTCTTTTTGTTTTTTTGTCACTCCAAATCTAATGGTTCCAATTACAATCAAACTAGGTGACTCGGGTCCTCGTAGGGACCAAAAAAAGGCTCAAGCTTTACATTTTATTTGTCTGGTTTTTATGTGTGTGTGCAGGAGAGAATGAAGAAGATTGGTGAAATGATAGAGAGAGATGGATCAAGTTCAAGTTCACAAACACCCAATAATATGGTCTTGCAATATAAGACTCATCGCTATTCTCTTTCTACTGCTTCTGTTTCCTCCTCCCTCACTTCTCTTTCTTAATCTCTCTTCTTTTTTTTTTTTTTCTGTTTTCTCTCTTTCTACAGTGTCTTAATTTGGATTTTAATTGATGAAAAATCAAAGAAAAAAAAATGCATTTTTCTTTTTGTAACCCGCAACAGTTGATTAAAACGGTTTAGAAAAATTACATAATTTTTTGAAGGTAAACTAAATTTATTTGGAAGATAAGATGGTTATGTTATGTTAAAAAAAAAAAAAATGGTTATGTTAAGTAAGGCAGCTAAAAGCTATTGTTTTAGCTTCCCGCCAAATTTTGTAGCGGGGAAAAAAGCAGTTGCGAGAGTTGACTTTTTAGGCACAACTGCAACAGACCTTTGGAAAAAGTGGCTCGTAAAGTATTGGGCTTACAATTTAGCCCATGAGCCCATTTCAATATTTTCTTTTACCTTATCTTCCGTTTTAACTTGATCAGTCCAAAGTCCCGTTTTGACTCTTATTCCTTTTTCTTCTCACGAGAAAAGTTTTGGGCTAATTAGGTAGAAATCCACTTGTATTATATAGTATAGGCTCTTTATTCCTCAGAAATTCCGTCTCAATATATAAAAAGAATACAAAAAAAAATTAAAACCCTTTTAGTAATTTAAAAAAAAAAAAAAAAACTGGGTTTTTTTTCTTTAAGAAATTTTATGAAACTAATGTTGGACCCTTGACATTTACCTATCTTGCCTAGGGGTAGAGACGGGCCTGCAGGAATTGCTATAAATTTTGCATTCTTTTTGTTAAATGGACTTGCTATGATAAAATTATAGTTATGATGATATTAAACATCAACAAGGTAGTGAGATTATACTCGAGAGAGGTGTTAAAACTCCGATCGTTGGTTGTTCAAATCAGCTTGGTGGGAAACCACTTACGTGGTCGGTGTATAAACATGGGCCTTACTTAGCCTAAATGTTCTCCAAAAAGATAATTCAGTACTATATTATTAACTAGACCGTATTTGTTTATGCGAGGGCTACTTTTTTTTTTTGGCTATCTTTGACTATATTAGTATATAATAATAATGCTACTAAGCCTAAATATTTTTCAAACAGATTTTTTGTACATGGTCCCTTCTGTTTAATGAGTTGGTTAAGGCTCATAATTGTGTTATTGACAAAATGAAATCAAAATTTATGGTAAGACAATAAAAGATATTTAGACTTAATGGGATCCGTGGCTAGCAGTGAAATATCATAGATTAGAGATTGGGTTAGTCTTACAAAAGTGTATATCATGATATTTTGGTTGTAATCTGATTAACACTTTTGTAATCGTCTTGTACATTTGAACACACGAATTAGAAAATTTGTACATTCTTGATGATTAATCAACAAACTAGTTCATTAGTCAATAAACATTCGTCAATTATCTGATTTTTCATTTTGCTATAATTTATCAGCTCATAATCACATTGGTTCTCTACTATTTATTGAATCTAACAACCGAATTTCTTTTAACATCATCAAACAACAAATTTTCAAAATAGTGACTTCTAGCAATTTGTTTATCTTAACAAAGACTATTTTGGTGTAATAACATTTGAGCTTATTCGATTTTATATGGTTGTACTTTTTTTGGGAAAGAATAGATGTTGTAATATCACATCAAGTGGCAATAAAATGCCAACTATATATGATTCAGATTCACTAATAATCATTCGATCGATAAGAAATTTCAAAAGGACACCTTACCTTCTGAATCACTGTCGAAGTAGCCTTTACAGGCTATCAAAAGTCTTTTTTTATACATTTTTGTTTTTCTTGTTTATCCAAATATTTATAAATCCACTGACAGCTCTTTCCAACGGGTATATTGGCAATGTCCAACGGTAACAACACCAATAATTTTCACAAAAACTAATCCAGTGATCTATCAGGTTAGCACATGGTTTTAATAATTATCACAATTTTTTCACATTTTTACTATACTAACAATATTTTGCCAAAAGATAGAACATTTCTAAAGAAAATAAAACGGGTGGATCAAGTAGACAAAAAGACATGCGAAGTTGCAACTCTTGGTTTTTGAACTGAACATGTTAGCTGTCTCCCCACATTTGCCATGTCATAGACTTAGTTTGCCTAACATAATGATTTTTGTAAATATATGTATATCATTACAAATATTTGATTCTCTCTCCAATTATATTCTCCATCCAATCACAGCTCGATAAGTCAGAAGTTTATTCACCTAATCATCATAATTTACTACTTCTCTTCAGTTAACGTTAACTCATGATTATGGATTGTCTATTAAGGAAAGTCAATATAGTAAGATGTTAATACTTCATCCGCCTAATAAAGTTTGATATATTTTTCTTTCCATATGTAAATCCATTTACCTTATAGTATAGGTTCATTAATCATTATTAAGATGTAATTAAGCATAGTCTAATCATATTCGTTTATATTTTTTTTTTATATTAATGCTTGGGCAAACCCCATGTTCCAATTATGCGTTTGCATGTTAGTCTGCAAATTTAATCTTTAATATATTAAAAGAGATTTTTAGGAATCTTGTTTTAATTAATCGAAATAAATCTTACATTTTTCCTCCTTTTTATACATCTCTTCCATTTTTTCCTCACCTTCACAACTCTCTCTAATCTCATAATCTCTCTCTCTCTCTCTCTCTCACTCTAACACCAAAAGAAGAAGAAGAAGAAGAATTTCCAAGAGAAAGAGAGACAAATGGGTTCCAAGATTGTCCAAGTTTTCTTCATCTTGGCTCTATTCGCCACATCAGCACTAGCTCAAGCCCCTGCTCCTACTCCCACCGCCACTCCTCCTCCGGTCGCAACTCCTCCTCCAGTGGCTACCCCACCACCAGCCGCAACCCCAGCCCCAGCCACGCCACCACCTGCCGCAACCCCAGCTCCTGCCACTACTCCACCATCGGCTGCTCCTTCTCCGGCTGATGTTCCCGCCGCCTCTCCACCAGCACCAGAAGGTCCCACCGCTAGCCCAAGCGGTGCTCCAGGACCTTCAGATGCCGCCGCTGCCCCAAGCGCCGCTTTCTCCAACAAGGCTTTCTTCGCCGGAACCGCATTCGCCGCTATTATGTACGCCGCCGTTTTGGCTTGAGAACTTTGTTATATAATTTTTTTTATTTCCCTCAATTATTTCAAATCTTTGGTGTTATGTGAGAATTTGATTTATTTTCGTATTTCGCTATTTGATCGTTAATTTTATTTTTATTATGCTTTCGTGTGTCGGAATGGGGAAAGTAATTATTATCTTGGTGGGAACTAATGGAATGTTGACACGTGTAATTTACCATTGGAATGGCTTCATATGAGCTGTGTAGAGGTGGAATCAATCTGTTTATGTAAATCCAATGCTAGATTAATAAACCAATTTCATTACTCTTTCGCTTAAACATAATTAAACATGGTTTTGCTTCAGATCGTAATAATAAAGTGTAAGTAATTTGTGTAATTATTTGTCATATGCATATTGTAGAAACTAGAGTAAAGCTTTAACCAAAGTAGACAGATTTTTCAACATGCAAAAAAAAAAAAAAAAAAAGACTTAACTCACACTATCTAACAAGGCCAGTAAAAATAAGTTTAGTAAAAAATGGAACCAGTAGATGTTTAGTGTTTTCGTAATTAGTGATTGACGACAAAAATACATACACATGTTTGGTAATTTGCTTACTCGTATCCGTATTATATTTATCTGTAACACTGAAGCCTCTGGACAACATTACAAAAAGCCCATTAGTTCGATATGACCAACTAGTACAGCCCAATTATGTTGGCGCGTTTTTTTTTGGGTTAATGCGCATTTTCAGATATTTCTGCGTTATGTTTTATTGTTTAGCAGGAACACTCTAATTCATTAACATCAGTACAGCACATTCAAAGAAATTCATCTATTTGGGTTTGCAAATAGTTAATTGTTTATTTTCTTTTGGTGATTAACAACATTAAGTTTTAACATCTTCATTTAACCACATGATTATCATAAAAATTAGGTTTCTCATAAGTCATCATATCGAATGATTTTGCATGCAAACCAAAAACAAATGAAACGTGAGAAACTACGTTTTTACGATCAACGATTTGAAAATTGAATACTGAACATACTGTAATTAGCTAGCTCTCTACGTTTTTTTTTGGGCAAGGTGTTAATCGAAAGTCGAAACCTAAACAACATATATTCTTTTAAAAGTCTAAAAGCTTAGAAATGCCCAAGCATCCGTGGTCTAGTGGCAAAGGAAGCTTTGGGAAAGAGTGAAACTCTCAAAACCTGAGTTCGATTCTCCTTGGAAACAAAAAACACATTTGTTTGGGAAGTCTGTCAGTTGGGCCTTGGCCCAATTGGTTTACCTGGTAGCCAGAAATGCAGGCGGCCTGACTACCCCTTGGCACTTAGTCGGAAGGCATTCCAAACTCGGGATAGGCAGAGTGGTAGCCCGTAAAGGCCTAACCGTTAACACGGTGGACCAGTCCACTATGTAGCACCTCGGTGCATTCCTACCGAAGCCGACCGGATAGCCGATAGGGTTTATAAAAAAAATAAAAGCTTAGAAATCCTAAAACATCTTGAATCATAGAAAAACCAGTAATAATGTAAAAAAAAAAACAAAAAAAGAAATTACATAAACTTAATGATTATTATAATTATAATTATTTAATTTTCAGCTGCATGAGCACTGAAGCTAGCTACTATTGTTTGCTGATTTTCATTTTATATAATTAGGTGATTGCAATTTCAGATGGGGTGAAAAAAAAAAAAAAAAATCAGCTGGGGTGTCACTTGCGGTTCATATTCTCGTGTGTTGGTTCTTCGTGTATGGTTATAAACTCGGAATCATAGGGACCATAGCTAGTGTGAACGTGCCATGGTGGTTGAACATCTTCATCTTGTTTATGTACAGCACACGTGGTGGTTGTACACTCACTTGGACCGGCTTCTCCACCGAAGCTTTCACCGGACTTTTAGAATTCACAAAACTCTCTGCCTCTTCCGGAATCATGCTTTGGTACCATTCGTCAAACAAAAACCCACTTCTTTTACATTAGTTTATATTTAGTTACATATGAGTCCAAAACAAGTTCTTACAATATATTTTTTTTTCCCCAAGACAGTTTAGAGAATTGGTACTATAAAATACTAATCTTGATGACCGGAAACCTAGTAAATGCGAAAGTTGCGGTGGACTCCTTATCTATATGGTACGTTATTTTAATTTTTCTTATAATCATTATGTCATATTTTTATTGTTCTTGTTTGTAAATTTTTGTTGGAATTTGGAAAGCTTATACTTTAGCTGCTTTCCTTTTTTTTTTTTTTTTTTTTTTTTTTGTAAACACTTTCCTTTTACATCTTCCCCCGATGAAATAGCCGTCGTTTTTAAGTGTTAACTTACTTTTTTTTGGCAGCATGTCCGTAAATGGTTGGGAGATGATGATCCCACTTGCTTTATTTGCGGGAACCGGGTACAAAATTCGTATTCGTTTGCTAATAAGTTTACAGTTACGTATGAATGGGATGCTATATATTTATTTAATATCTCCATCAAAGATAATAAGATGGCCCAAAGGCTGCAAACTGTTTCACCAAAATTATTTTTGACATCCATTAACCTGTTTCCTTTACTTAACCAACAATTTGAAATCTATATAAAAATGGAAATATAGAATGGGCAGATAAAGTAACGTGAACAATTTGAAAAAACGGTCTATTTCCCCATGAGAAGTATGCTTATCACGCCAGATAGAGCCCGTTCTTTGACCTCTGTCTATATGTCCATGAAACGGAAGTTAAACACTTATTTCCCCCCTAATTGGAAGTTCGATATCTTAATCTCCCCGATTCTGAAAGCTGGAGATGTATAACCCCATCGTGCTGGGTTTACTCGGTTTACTGTATATCGAAACCTAATTAAACCGACTAAACCTAATTCGAACCGAAATAAACCTAATTCGAACCGAAATAAACCTAATTACTACCCGATTACAACCCGATTTCATTCACTTCCCCAAATCAAAATTTCTCGACGAACCCTAGAAACTCAGAATCGAAAATCGAAGCTCCTCGATCTGCTGCTCAAAATCTTGGAGATGTCGGTAGTTCCTCATGATCCTGATGTTCTCGGCGAAGCCGAAGCCGTCGGCGATGTCGATCCTGAAGCTAATGACAGAGATGAATTTCACATGGAAGAGATGCTAAGGGAGTGGACCGACGAACCACCAATCCGCCACGATGTGTACCCGGAGAGTGAGAATGAAGAAAACGACGACGAACCTGGAAGATTTGATACACATGTAAGGCGTGGTGATGGCCATTTGTACTCGAAGCAGAGTTTCTTCAGTGGAGTTGCATTCAAAGAGGCGGTTGTTGATTACGCTCTCAGAACCGGATGCAATCTGAAGCAGTACAGGTATGATAGTGATAAGATTGGATTCAAATGTGTTGGAAATGATGGTAAGGAGGATGGAGCTCGGTGTGAATGGCAAGTTTATGCGGCAATACTTCCGAAGGATCAAATGTGGAAGATTAGGAAATTCATTGACAAACATAGCTGTATCCCAAATGGAGAATGTGAGATGTTTAAGGTGCCTCATATAGCTAGGTTGTTTGTCGACAAGATTAGGGATAATCCCGAGTTCTACATGCCGGCAAAGATTGAAGAAATCATCTTGGAACAATGGAAGATTAGTGTGACTAGGAATCAATGTCAGTCTGCGAGGAAGAAAGCGTTACAGTGGATTGAGAAGGAGTATGATGATCAATTTGCAAGGCTAAGGGACTATGCGGCTGAGATTGTAGATTCAAACAAGGAGTCACATGTTGAGGTAGATTGTCTGACGACTGATGATGGTAAAGACATCTTTAATAGGTTCTATGTTTGTTTTGACAGCCTTAGAAGAACATGGAAGGATTCTTGTAGGCCTCTGATAGGTATTGATGGCTGTTTTCTAAAGAATAAGGTTAAGGGACAGTTACTGGTAGCATTAGGTAGGGATGCTAACAATAGGATCTATCCTATAGCTTGGGGTGTGGTTAAGGTAGAGAACACAGACAATTGGGTTTGGTTTGTGAAGCTGTTGAAAGAGGACTTGGGTTTAAGCAATGGTGAAGGGTTCATCATGATGTCTGATAGACAAAAGGTAACTGCTCTTGTCTTTTGTTGTTTTGTTTTGTCATTTCACTTCTGTCTTAGCTAATGTTTGTTTTTTTTGTTTCAGGGTTTAATCAAAGCTGTTCAGCTTGAGTTACCTAATATAGAGCATCGGATGTGTGTCCAACACATCTATGGGAACTTAAAGAAGACTCATGGTAGTAAAACCAGGATAAAGCCACTGCTCTGGAATTTGGCTTGGGCCTATAATGAAAAAGATTTTAAGCAGCACTTGGAGAAGATATTCTGCTATGACAGTGTTATCTACAATGATGTGATGAAAACAAATCCAAAGAGTTGGTCCAGGGCATTCCAGAAAGTAGGCAGCTTCTGTGAGGATGTTGACAACAACTCAGTGGAGTCTTTCAATGGATCTTTGAACAAGGCAAGAGAGAAGCGATTTGTTGCAATGTTAGAGACTATCAGAAGAATGGCCATGGTAAGGATTGCCAAAAGGTCTGTAGATTCCCATACTCACACAGGTAAGCTTCTCTCTTAATCTCTGTTGTTTACTTAATCTTTGTTGTTTACTTGACAGCTTTTATATCTTTTTTTGCAGGTGCATGTACACCTTATGTTGCCAAGTTTCTAGCTGGTGAACACAAGCTCGCTTCTACTGCCAAAGTATCTACAAGCACCAATGGAATGTATGAAGTGAGGCATGGTTCTGATTATCACCGAGTAGACTTAAAGGCATACACTTGTACATGCAGGAAGTGGCAGATCTGTGGCATCCCGTGTGAGCATGCATATGGAGTCATTCTCTACAAGAAGCTTGAACCTGAGAACTTTGTGTGTCAATGGTTCAGGACAGCAATGTGGAAAAGAAACTACACGGATGGCGTCTGTCCACAAAGAGGACCTAAGTTCTGGCCTGAGAGTCATAGGCCTAGAGTCCATGTGCCTGAGTCACCAGAAGGAGAAGACAACAAGATGACAAAAGCTGAGAAAAAAAGGAAAAAGGGTTTGAATGAGTCTCCTAGTAAGAAGCAGCCAAAGGCAAAGAAAAGAATCATGCATTGTCGTGTTTGTGGGCAAGCTGATCACAATTCAAGACACCATGCTAAAGATAAGGTATGTGAGATTCTTGTTGTGTTTGTGGCATTTGTTGGATTATACTAACACTTGATGTAATTTTGCAGGCTTCTCATTTTGTCTCGCAGCCTTCTCAACCTGAACCAAGTCAAGGTTCACTCACTCAAGCTTGATCCAAGGAGTAGAAGACTGTCATAGGGTATAAGAACTAGGGTACTTATATTGTGGTTGTCTCATTGTAATTTTCGACCACATTGTTTCTACGGCTAAATGGATGTTTTGTTTCTACGGCTAAATGGATGTTTAGGATGAATGCTATTTTGAATGCTATTTAGTAATCTTGTTTGTTCTTGTTTCTTTAACAAAAGAACAAACAAGATTACTAAATGCATTCTCTTACACATAAATCAAACAAGAGTACAAACATGATCATATTACAAAGACAAAGACATAATTCTCTTACACACTAGTCCACCAAAAGTAGAAACATAAATCCAATCATGATCATATTACAAAGACAAAGACATAAGATATTAGAAAGCTTGGGTTTACATTCATCGGATCATTCATCCTACAAGTTTGGTGAATCCAATCATAATCATACACCCTAACACTACTACAATCATCATCTTCTTATTGCTTGTTTTGGCTTCAGACAAAGCATCTTCCACCTTCTCAAATAACTCCTTCTCTATCTTCATTTGGACATTCTCGGAAACCTTCTTATCAAACTCTAACCTCTCTGTTCTAAGCTCTTTCAACTGCAGCTCAAGTTCACAATTCTTTCCTCTCAATGTCTCTAACTCATTGAGCAAGGCTTCATCAACCCATTTGAAAGTGTGATCATCGTTCCTTAGCTAGATATGAACAGTGATCTTTCAATATTAGAAGAATCTAAAACATGAAAACAGAGGAAATAGAGATTGACATTACCCTATGTTTTGCAGCAAAACCGCAACGAAAGTATCTCCGGTAAGGATTCGGATCGGATTTAGAAATCAATGCCACGATTCCTTCTCCGCACCAGCAGCTCTTTGGCACTCCGACCACTCTTCCTCTTCCACGAGGACCTGTAGAACCCGTCGAACTCGATGATAGATTGCTCATCTTCAAACTCAAATTCGGGTTTTCAAAGAGAAATCGGATTTTAGGGTTCTTGAGTTTTGAATTTGGGGATTTTGAATTTGGGAATTGGGGATTTTTTGTTTGGTTACGACAATGGGTCGGGATGTCGGGTTATAATAAGGAAACCGGTCTGTTTTTTGGTTTGGTTACGACCCATACATGGTTTCGTGTCGGGTTTACACATCAAACCGACGTAACCACGAATCGGGGAGATTAAGATATCGAACTTCCAATTAGGGGGGAAATAAGTGTTTAACTTCCGTTTCATGGACATATAGACAGAGGTCAAAGAACGGGCTCTATCTGGCGTGATACGATAGTTCTCGGGGGGAAATAGACCGTTTCCCCGAACAATTTGGACAAATCTTGTTATATATCCCACACTCACAATTTCCCTTTTTGTTTTATTCGTTTTAGCAAGTATTAAAGTCGATCTACTTGTAATCAAGACTCAAGTTCATAGACTCTGTCTGGATTATATGTATGCACATAAATTTCTTTACTCTTTAACATACTTATTGTACAAATAATAACTAATTTGTAGAGTTCGAGTGGCAAACGAACTAGGAGCGAGCTGGTAATGGCAAAGGAGCAAGATTTGCAACGCTTGTGTCGATCACACTATCGTTAATGGTTGGATTATTCTTCACAGTGTTCATAGTATTTCTCCATGACCAAATCGGTTCGATTTTTTTGTCAAGTGAAGCTGTCCTAAACTCAGTCGATAATCTTTCTGTTCTATTAGCCTTCACAGTTCTTCTCAATAGTGTGCAACCAGTTCTTTCCGGTACGTCTCAAAATATTACTATTTTCATATAAACCGGGTCAACGGAAGTGTGTTGACTTTTGACATTTGATTAAGGTGTTGCTGTTGGTTCGGGTTGGCAATCATACGTGGCATATATCAATTTGGGATGCTACTACCTTATCGGGCTTCCGTTTGGGCTTACTATGGGCTGCGTTTTCAAATTTGGAGTCAAGGTTTGCCAAGATTTTTCGAAAATGTCGGCAGTTTTTTATGTCGGCAAATTGTGTGTTTGATACTTTGATGTTAATATCTTGTGGAGATGAAAAAAAACTAATATATGTGTACCTTGTAATGATGATAGGGAATATGGGCCGGTATGATATTTGGAGGAACCGCAATTCAAACGTTGATATTGATTATCATCACTACAAGATGTGACTGGGACAATGAGGTAACAACACGGAGAATAATATTACAAAATATCACTTTCATCTAAAATTTTAGTAATTTTCTCATAGTTAATACATTAAATCTATAATTTGATATAAGAATTTTGAAGTAACTGTCTCCGGTGTACGATTTAAAACATCGCAGGCACATAAAGCAAGTGTGCGCATTAAAAAATTGTTGGTCTCGGACGCAAGAAACTGATCATTTTGGAGCATCCGTTCTGTAAATTTAAATCGTATTATTGAGTAAAGCACAGAGCTTGTGGTTTCAATTTCACATGAAGTGTTTTCTTTATGAATAACAGAAAAAGGCATTATGCACACTTTCACTTCATTTAAAAGTTTATTTACATACGGAATCACTTCTCCTTTGTCTTTATGAAATAAGGATTCAAGCATAATTTGAAAAAAAACTAGACAACCCATTCCAAGACTAAAAAAAACAACAAATTCAATCATAAAGCTCGTATTTATATTCGTAGTGAGACGACTTCGGTCTACCATTAGTAAACCGGATCTTTTCTCACCTAATTGGACCAACCATTCATCAAATGTCACGTATACGAACTGAGCCACACTGACTCATTCGTCAATCCATTGTAGTCATCAAATGTTACCCATTCGGAATCCAAATTTTCCACATGTGTTGATGTCTCAGAGTCGTCGAATGTTACCCATTCGGTTGGAGACGAACCAACCAATATTTGAACCATCTCCTCATCGTCTTTAACCGTAGTCTGAACCAAACCGACCAATTTAACCATCTGCTTATTGTCCTATACCGTATCGGCCTTCAACATCTCAACCAAACACCAAAAATCTTCCGCTAGACGTCTGCAACGCCAAAAAAATCCACTCAAACTCTCTTTGCACTCTCCAAGTCTCACCAAAACCAGACTCAAATCGTTCAAATCGGGATCACCAATATGCTTAACATTCGGTTTAATCAATCTTTCACTCAACACTTGAAGCCGTACCATAACCAATCTCACAACCATGAAGTAGTCTTGAATCACGAGCTCTCTAATCTCGTCCACGATCTTGTTTTCGAACATAGGTGGAGTCTCCGGTCTGGTACATATATCCTCAAAAAAACTCACAAGAAAATCCGTTTGTCTCATAATACACCCGGTTTGGTAAGACGAAACACGATCTTTCTCTTTAACTTTCTCTTTTGGGTTCTCCATTAAATTTGGAAAAGATCCTAATACCTTCGAAACCCATGAGAGACGATCCAAATATAGTCCATACCTAAATGACATATAAAAAAAAAATATATATATATATATATATTATCATATATCAGTATAAATCTGTCCAAATAATTAGATAAATATCACAATCAAATAAGAGAATTAAAAAAGCTATAAAAGAGAAGTAAATTACCATCTAATCCATTGAGACAATTCTAGTGCGAGAGTAGAAGATTTGTCTGAAAACTCATTCAACTTTAGATTGTTTCGACCACGATCTAGGCCTTCAAACTTGTCTCTTGATGATTTGATAAGCTTGTGGATGACGATGAGAGATTTGGTGGCCACAATAGCGTTCTTCGTGACACGTAACCTCCACAGAGCCGCCGCAAAAGCTGCCGGAGCGTAACGGCTGTTCGAGTAAGAGATGACATCGGAGACATAGTCACTGTTTGGTGGTTTGTTAGAAGTGTGCGTTGTTGATTTCAAGAGCGCTAAGTGAATGTATTTGACAGCAGTGGAGCTGAAACTATGAACCAATCTTGCTTTGCCTATCGAAGCTTTGTCTTTGAATTTTCCGATTATGCGAGTTTTGAGTTCTGACATTCTCTCGATAGAACTAAAGAAAAAATAATAATTGAAGCTGTTTTGTTTTGTGAGGTTGGAATTTGATTTTTATAAGCGTCCAATGTTTGATTCGTTTTCCAATTTCTTATAGTTTCCTTTTTCATTTTTTAATAAATATACGTGAGTTTCCTTTTGGAAACATTCAAATTTAGTATTATTTTTTTTGGTCGACATCCAAACTTGATTAATTTTCCTCTTCTCAGCTATTAATTTTGTAATATATCCTTTTCATTCCAAAGTCGTCGTTCATTCATTTGAGAAAACTTATATTAAACATGACGAGTTCATTATTCAGCCTCATAAGACCAATAAATTGTTGTTATTTGTTAAATAAAATGTTGATTGTAATGTAATGAATAAGTCCGTCAACTACTATGTTATTCTAATACATACTAGTTGATTTGTATTGACTTTGTAGAAAAAAAGATGTTGATTTGTATTGTAAATGAATAAGTTTACCAATGTTGTATTTTAATGAAAAGGTTTAACAGTATTGTCAATTTGTCATATATCTATTATCTAATTATAGATTAGGAAAATTATATGTTATCAGATATAACAAATGACAATTATATTTAATAATTACCAATATAAATTCATAGGTTATTAATTAAATAATATTTTGTAAACAGAATGAAATCTTCTGCTATTAAAATCATATCAAACATTATGCTTCTATGTACTTTTAAATTAGTTTTAATAAAAAAACTATATTTAGTCAATTGGGTAGTAAAATAATTGAGTAACCAAATCACATATATTTCTAAGGATTCCAATAAATAATAATTCTAATTTTTAAAATTACTCATGATATATGAAATAAATATATAAACCATTAATGCTAAAAAAAATCTCTTAAGATTTGGCTATTGAGTATTGAGCAAATTCTTTTATGACAACAAACATAGGATATGTCTGAATTTTATTAGTTCCATTTCACAGCAGCTAGAGCTAGTAGCCACCAGTGAACCCAATTTTTTTTAAAAAAAAACTCGAAAATTTGGGCACCAGTTTGAGATTTTTAATGTCAACATGAATTATATATTCATCGAAATGTGATGAGAACAAATTGGTTAAGTCAAAGCTTTAGATGATTAGGAATAATTGATGCAAGCAAGGCACGGTCGCATGGAAGACCATGGCTTCTTCCGCAATCCGCATAAACATAATAAATCAAATTATGTGAATATTTCGGCTTTGACAAGTTTGTTAACATATGACGTGGACGCTAAGAAAATCATTCTGATTGGTTACTTAACACATGACGCGGATCGCAAAGATACAAACAATCTTAACCGTTGATAAGGAAAAAAGATCTAACGGACGAAACATAAACACTTCCTCTCTTCCTCGAGTATAAAAACACCTCACAACCTCACTATCTTGCATATTAATCACATTCTCACCAAATCAAAACTAGAAGAATAAATTTACATTCTTGCAATCTCGAAAATGGCTCGTACCAAGCAAACAGCTCGCAAGTCCACCGGAGGAAAGGCACCAAGGAAGCAACTCGCGACTAAAGCAGCGAGGAAATCAGCTCCAGCAACCGGAGGAGTGAAGAAGCCACACAGATTCCGTCCAGGAACTGTGGCGTTGAGAGAAATCAGGAAGTATCAAAAGAGTACAGAGCTTTTGATCCGTAAGCTTCCGTTCCAGAGATTGGTTCGTGAGATTGCTCAAGATTTCAAGACGGATCTGAGGTTTCAGAGCAGTGCTGTGGCGGCTCTTCAGGAAGCAGCTGAGGCTTATCTTGTTGGGCTTTTTGAGGATACTAATCTCTGTGCGATTCATGCTAAGAGAGTAACCATCATGCCTAAGGATATTCAGCTTGCGAGGAGAATCAGGGGAGAGAGGGCTTAAGACAACGATTCTACTAAGATGGTGAAGAAGAGGAAGAAGAAGGATAGTCGTTTAGTTATGGATTATGTAAATCTGTTCCTTTTCGTATTCGAGTGTTTTAGGCTTTTGCTTAGTTTATTTTGTCTTCCAGATGTTCGATGAAATGCTTATTAATCTACGGTTGATTTGCTCTTACAAGTACTATTATCTGCCACGCTGATTCGTTTATCAGTGAAAGAGTTAATTTCCTGCTCCATCAACTGTCCAAATTGATTTCAATCTACTTTGATTTTTGGTATTTAATCCGGTTAGGGGTTGTCAATCTCCTTGTCAATGAACAGAACATTCTTCAAATTCTCATTTCCAGTAAATCGTTCACAAAACGTAAGAATAAGACTCGGTTCTTGGCAAAATTGAAGTGAGAATCTGCAGATTGTTCTGTTCTTGTTCATACCATCACAATAAGAAACCCTTTTAATTATTTTACTTAGTTCATAGATTTATCGAATAAGAACGCGATCGTATGTATCAATTAAAGAGTAATGTAATTTCTCATATTTGTTATCTCCTTGAAATAATTGAATTTTTTTTTAGAGCTTTCTACTTCTTCAATCTTCATAGCCAAAATTTTCGATTGCCGCTTAAAATTTTTTAAAAGTTGGAAGAAGCGCAAAAGTCTACGTGGACTGAGAAGGATGATTTTAATTGGTTGATAGTATATCACGCGGATAGCCTAAATTTAGAACAGCACTGTTTTGATTGGTTGATAAGGTCTCACACTGATTTATATCTGGAAGATCTCAGCCGTTGATAATAATATTAATCCAACGGACAATAAATTCAACTTTACCTCCAAAAAAACAAAACTCCCTCCAAGTTTTTTTCACCTCACCGCCAAATTTCTCTGCCCATAAAAGCAGTCCTCTTCTGCTTTCTTCTTCACTACCAAATTTCACATTTGCATTCTCCAGAAGAAGAAAATTCGATCTACCGATTAGTCATTGTTTGATTTCTTCGAGATGGCTCGTACCAAGCAAACCGCTAGAAAATCCACCGGAGGCAAAGCACCGAGGAAGCAGCTGGCAACCAAGGCGGCGAGGAAATCTGCTCCGGCCACCGGAGGAGTGAAGAAGCCGCACAGATTCCGTCCAGGAACTGTTGCCCTGAGAGAGATCAGGAAGTATCAGAAGAGCACAGAGCTTCTGATCCGTAAGCTTCCTTTCCAGCGTTTGGTTCGTGAGATTGCTCAGGATTTCAAGACGGATCTGAGGTTCCAGAGCAGTGCCGTCGCTGCTTTACAAGAGGCGGCTGAGGCTTACCTTGTTGGTTTGTTTGAAGACACTAACCTTTGTGCGATCCATGCCAAGAGGGTTACTATCATGCCTAAGGATATCCAGCTCGCAAGGAGGATCAGAGGAGAAAGAGCTTGAAGACTTTTGGATTAGTTCGTCAATGGCACTCTATTTCTGGGACTTTTGATTTGGGTTTAGTAGTGAATGGGTTCTTGTAAGCTTGGTTCTTAGATCCTTTTTAGTTTTCGTTGTTAGGTGCTTTTGTTTAGATAGTCTTTAAGGTGTTCGACGAATTATCCCAGAGAAAGTTTCTCTTGTTTAGTATAAGCATATTCTCCTAAATCTCTTGAAATGTTTCATCTTTTACTTTGTGTTTTCTGCTTGTTGATCTAATAATCTTGAAACATTTAAAGTTTCCACTTATTTCAGATACTGTATATAACACACTAGACATTACATTAAGCTTCAATGTAATCACACCATTTAACTGAAATTACCAGATACAGATGGTGTACGGTTTGGTAGAATCGGATCTTGGCTCCTTAATCTTCTTGATGATGAGAAGAAGTTAGCACTGAAACTGGTATAGAACTGTCTTCCACTTCTAGTAGCATTATTATTACCATCGCAAAGTGATAAGCTTCCTCCAATTGATGACGATCTTCTCACATTTTCCACTCTTCCCGAGCCACAATGGTTTGCCAAATCGCTTTGTGCCCTTGGAAGAATAATATTATGGTTTCTTCTGGATCTAGAACTCTCTTGTCCTCCTCCACTGAGGTCATTACTCGATTCAGAATCTGGTTGATGATTCGTCTCTGTTTCTTGATGAGGAGGCTCAGTGAGAAGAAGAACAGGGGCACGACATAAAGGACAGTTCTTGTGAGAAAGCAACCAAGTGTCGATGCAGTTAATGTGAAAGGCGTGGCTACACTTTGGTAACAATCTCAGCGATTCGTCTTCTTCAAACTCGTTTAAGCAGACAGAGCATTCGGTGCCGTCGATTATCCCTTCTCCCTTTTTGAATCCAACGACTGTGATCGAGTTGATCGCGGAACGATGGAGACCGACGGTTGGGATTCGCCAGACGTGATGGAAGTCGGAGTGATCTCTCTCCTCTGTTTCGTCTTCGTTTTCCCGTTGGCCTGTGTCACCGGGAGTTACGGTGGCGGCTGAGTTCCACCGTGGTTGCGTTATGTAGAGGTAGAGGAAGACGACTAGAAATAGAAAGAGTATGACTGAGCCTACGACACAGATCGAGGTGGGGAGTAGGAGAGAGAGCTCCCTCTGTGGCGGTGGTGGTGGCGGCGGAGGGGAAGTCTGGAAACAAGGGATAAAGATCGGCGACTTAAAATCTTTGACCGGTAGATAACAAAAGAGCGTCTTTCTGTTATTAAACTCCATTGTAGGAGTTTAGAGACTATAGAAACAGAGCAAAAACAGAGGACTTTATTTCAGACACAACTAGTAGAAAACAGAGCAAGAACAGGGGAAAATGGGTATTACACACAATTCCAAGTTTTTGCTTCTGATTAAAGCGAGAAGAAATAGGACATCAAAACCCACAAAATGGGTTAGAATCTAGACAGAGTCACGACCCAAAAATTCTTCGTGAAGAAATAAGTGGGTCATACACATCATGATCTCAAGACTAGAATTAGAGAGGATTTGTCCATTTTAGGGGTTGGAAAGTGGGTGGAAATTTCCTGAAAGTGATAACGCCATTAAAGGCGATGTCTCTGTATGTTAGAAAGTAGTTTCCTTTCAACTTAGTAAACTCTCTGTAGACATTTACGCGTAATCAGTCATGTAGCTAGTCAAGTCCTAAGTCTTTTTATTAACAACAATCTTAATTTATTTGGCATCCGGTTTATGAGTCATCCCTGTTTACAATTATGATCGGTTTTTCAGTTGGTTAAAGAAGGTACAATACCGAACTACGCTAATGTTCACATATGTACACATTAAGCAAACCAGATATTACAGAATATAGATACATGGGTCCGGTCCGGTCTGGTCTAGTCCACCGGGACACCTAACTCGACTAATCCGATTCCACCATGAATTGTCCTTAAATGGGCATAACAAGGTTCTGCTTGAGTGAAAACGTCTAAGCAGGTCCAGCAAATGTGCTTTCCACACCGGCACTGCAGATGGTTACACCCATCAGACTTCTCTATCGTCGACTTGCAAATCGGACACTCCTTTACGTCCTTCCCTTTTGCCCAGTCCTTAAGGGACAAGTCCGGATTTTCCTTGAACTTTTTGTACCTTTCACAAGTGATTAACGGGTGATACTCGAGGTGACACCTTGTGCATGTTTCCGAGTGACATGCTCCACAGATGAATGGCTCGCCGGATTCTTGAGGTCCAGCTACACGGTAGATGGAAGGGCAATCAGGTGTGGAGCAAAACCTGAACTTTCCATCACTAGATGTTACAAAAGAGGACAAGGATGCGTTGAAGAGTTCATCGAGCATCTCTTGTGATAAGAGGGCTCTCATATCAGCCAGTACTATTGGAGCTCCACAGTCTATGTGAGAACAAAGTATTGGAAATGCGTCAAAGTTTCTCATTGATGCCTCAAATTGCTCCAACAAACAAGCTTTGCAGAAGAGGTGTGAACATCCTTCAAGAGAGTAGCCATCGTCAACTTCTGACAAGCAAATGGGGCATTCAATTTCAATGTCATCTGTTTTTTCACCCAGTGCACTCTCTTCTCGTGCAAGTTCATTAACCATCTTTTGTACTTCCTGCCTCATTTCTTTGCTCCCATGAACCTGAATAACATGGTACCGGGTGTTGAGCTTGAGATCCACACCATGTACCTTTTCTTTGATACCTTGAAGCTCCGGACCAAACCGCTTCACAACTTCCTTCATGAGGTCAGGACGGATCTCAGGACCTCGGAGGTGGATTTCAAGTTGCTTGCTCTCATGATAAGCCATAAGTGATTGAACCAGTTCTTGTTCTGCCTTGGCAATTTTCTCACTTGATCCACAAATTCGTACTGTGAGATTGTGCCTGTCTAATACAATGTAAGTTTCTGTCTCCTGTTGGATCTTCCGCATCAGATTAATACCATCTCTGGACATAAGATGCTGCAGGACTTTAGGAGTTAAGCCTGGATGGTTAATAGGTCTTCCTCTTAAGAGTTCTTCAAGTTCTCTCCGCATCTCCGCAACGGGTCTTGTTGCATAAGCAATAATTTTAACACGATAAGCCCCATTATGAGTTGGTTCCAGACGCCATATACCCCCTACAAAAATATAAACAAACGTTAATGCACATCAAACTTTGGACGAGTTCACAGGAAAAAATAGGACACCTAAGCTTATGCATCCTTCAAATGTCCCTTACCCTACACACGAATTAGAAACTGTAGCCTCGAAATTAAACCTTGTAAGTCATGATTGTTCTTAATCAATATCGGAGTCAGAAGTAGATATTCAGTAAGGTTATTTGTTGACAGAAGGTAATAAAAATTAAAGAGCAAAAAGCGAAAAGCGAAAAGCTCAAATGTTTTTTAGGAATTTTACCTTGTTGTCTCTCAAAGCTTGCTAATAAAACGTTCAATTGTCTTTTGACAGAGTTGTAGATAGAAGCGGAGCAGATTATGGAGCTCTGAAACAGTTGTTCACACTTTATCTTCTGCCATGGAAGACATCCAGGTAGCACCTCCCCATTTAACTCTTGCAAAGCTTTTGCAGCTTCCAAATGTAATCTTCCGTCAAACGTAATCAACGCTCGCATGAAATAATTGTCTTCTTTTGGTTCAAAAACTTGAACTTGGACACAGTTTGGCTCTGGATTCTTTGCTGACATGCGCGCAAATATTCTCTTATGAAGCTCTTCTTCGCAAGCAGTAGGAGATGGGCACTGCACACTGTTTTTTCTGAATATGAAAAAATTCAGATCTCTTCTCTTCGTTTCCAACTCTAAAACATCTAAAACTTCTGCTTCTGAAAGATCTCCAAGTCCACTTATCAAGATAGAATCATTGGACTGTTGATCTCTCTGAATATTGACATAATTCGTTCCAATCACAAGATTGGATATCCCACCAATTATACTGTGAATATCTCCGGAAGGGCACTTAAGACATCCTCTACCACTGCTTTCCTTTCGCGGCCAACGAATCTTAGCTGTCACAGAAGGGAAAGAAGGCATCTTGAATATTCCTCCACCAGTTGACAGTGATGGAAATAATTTAAGCACTGATCCTTTGAAATCAAATTTCTGAATTTCTGTTGCCTTCATAGCAGATTCTGGAGTGAGAAAGGTTATTCTACCCCACTTCTCCTTCTCATCACAGTCTTGCTTGTTCGCAGCAAACTTGTAAATAGAGCAAATACACCCATCAATCTTCTTCTCCAGAAACGACAGAAGCTCTCTGTCGTCAACAACATTATCGCCATAATAAAGTACATCGACTGTCAGAAATCTCTGATCAACTTCAAGATGCTTTATCTGAGCACCAGATCCAAACAGTGCAATAGGTACTTGTCCCCGACCATGAAATAGATACTTCTCCAAACATTCATTACGCATCCATTTCTTTTCACATTCCAATGCATCGTTCACAAGGGCTGACACTTTTTCCATGTCAAGGGGAGGCGCATACAGTAGAATCTCATTCTGATCAACATCGACTTGAATACCAATCCTTTCATCCGAACAAAGAGACCTAGCTCGAGAAACAATTGAAAGCAGACTACGATTAGATTTCCCACATAATCGTTTTAGCACAGTGCTGCTACAACCAACCACTTTTTTCACTCGGAGCCTCTGCTCATCCATCTGGGATGCATCAAAAGGTGGTGGTGGATCAAGCATATACAAAGCTTCAAAATCAAACGCAGTTACACATACCAAATACTGGTCCACAATAGATAGAAGTTCACCGAAAACAACCCAGCTTGGCTTCTGGCCAAATGCTAGCAATGAACACGATGGATGTAACTGAACTTGTTGACCAGTCAATGCCACCTCGTATCCAAGCTGATCATAGCCAGTGTACATCGCCACGTTTTCTGCAAGAGATGCAAGTATAACCATTTTCAAATGCTTGTCGTGTTTAGTACCCTCATTTGGATTCCAAACCCAGTAACTAGGACTGACAAGAGTAAGTTCTCTCTCAATGCATATCTCCAATTCCTTGACTGTGTCTTCACATCTCCTCATTGATTTGGCATTCAGGCTATTTTCCCAGCACCATTTATTTCTTCTCTCTCGCGGCAGAGATGCCCATTCTTTGTACACCGAAAGAAGAGTGAACAAGTCTCCATTATGATTGCAGAATTGCACCTTGAAGATGACACAGTAAAAAACTTTAGAACATATCTTCTAACAGGTTGTGACAAGATTTAAAACTAAAAAAGTTCAAAACCTGTGTATACCGGTTAATAAAAAATGTAAAATAACAGGAAAGGGTAATCATTCTATGAAAGAAAAATACCACAATAACAAAATTAACTGGGAGCTTTCTATGAATCATTCTATGAATCATACCTTAAGGCGATCAGCTTTCATCTTATCATCGAAGTTGCCAACTCTACAAAATATACTACTAGCATTAGCCATGACAGCAGCAAGAACAATCCCCTCTTTGCCCATTCTGTGTCTGAAGCAGCCTAAAATTAACTTTCCAAGCTTTGGCTCCAGCCCCAGCTTGACTAAACAATGCCCTTCCTGTGTTAATTCAAGAACACCGTTCTTCACAACGACTGCACCCAACTGAACAAGATTTTGGACAGCCATTGCAATGGCTTCCGGGACAGGCGCGTCAATAAAGTCAAAAGCATCTATGTTGTCTACGCCCAGAGCAAGCATCCTCAAAAGTGCTACACCAAGATGGACCCTCCGAATTTCAGGTTCCTGACTAAGATTCATTGAATCAAAATCGTTTTTTGAGTAGAGTCTGTAACATCTTCCGGGTTCTGTCCTTCCAGCACGACCAGCACGTTGTCGAGCAGAACTCTGACTGACCTGGCACACCTTGAGGATGCTCATACCCGTTCTAGGTTCATATTTACTCTCTTTCACCATCCCGGAATCAATTACATACTTGACACCAGGAATAGTCAGTGACGTCTCTGCAATATTTGTGGCAAATATCACTTTTCGTCTCCCAGGATGGTTCTGGAAAACCCTAAATTGTTCTTCGAAGGAAAGCTTTCCATGCAAAGGCAAAGCAATTGCAGACGGAGCTATAAACCTTTCGCATGCCCATTCTACTTCTGCTTGGGAAGTCAAGAATGCAAGGATGGTTCCTTCTTTCTCTGTTTTATGTATTTCCACTGCCATCTTAACAACATCACCAACATATGAAGCAATGCCGCCAACAACAGAATTCTCTTCTGTGTCACTAGGGGAATATACAATCTCCACCGGAAAGTTCCTCCCATTGACATGAAGAATACCACAACTGAAGAAATACCGTGAAAGTTGGTGGGCATCGGCCGTGGCAGACATGATTACGAGCCTCAGGTCAATCCTTCTGGATAGCAACTCTTTGAGCAATGCCAAAAGAAGGTCCGTGTTTAAGCTTCTTTCATGAGCTTCGTCAATAATAACACATGAAATGCCAGACAAACTACGATCTCTTATGTAGTGCTGAAGCAGACAGTTATCCGTCATGTATACAACTTTGGAACTAATCTGCTCAGTAGACGAAAAAGTTG